TTTCTGATGGCTTCATCACACTGCCGACTCATGTTCATCTTAGAGTCCACTAGGACTCCAAGATCCCTTTCCACTTCCGTGCCACCCAGCAGGTCATTCCCTAGGCTGCAGGTGTGCTGGACATTCTTCCTCCCTAGGTGCAGCACTTTGCATTTCTCCTTGTTGAACTGCATTCTGTTGTTTTCTGCCCACTTGTCCAACCTGTCCAGGTCTGCTTGCAGCTGTTCCCTGCCCTCCGGCGTGTCCACTTCTCCCCATAGCTTTGTGTCATCTGCAAACTTGGACAGAGTACATTTCACTCCCTTGTCCAAGTTGCTGATGAAGACATTAAAGAGTATCGGTCCAAGGACAGAGCCCTGCGGGACACCACTGCCCACACCCTTCCAGGTCGAAGCTGACCCATCCACCACGACTCTCTGGGTGCGACCCTCCAGCCAATTCGCCACCCACCGGACTGGCGAATCCCAATCCCAATTTATTAAAACATGAGGTCTTCTTTAATTTACTTAAGTCTTTTTTAAATCTTTTTTTTTTGTCCTTTAGCGGTTTATTTCACCACCTTCTCCCACCCCCATTTCCATACCACCTCCCACTTCACTACCCACAACCATCCCACTAACTCCATCCCCCAGCTTCATGTTCCTGCCCACCCCTCTCTCAGACACCCACACCTAAGCAGGGATCGAATGATGTCCTGGCTCACCAGCCCTGTAATGGCAACTCACAGCTGTAGCTCCTAGTCAGGCCCATGCTTGCCAGCTCTCTATTGGCAAGTCACAGCTATGCAGGTGGGGGACAGTCAGAGAAGGTTTTTAGTTTTAAGGTGTGACTGCTCTAAACTTGAGCTCACACTAACATCGATCAACATTTAAGCAGCAAAAAGTGAAACATCTAACAAGCCCCCCAATCTCTACATCTACTCCCCGAGTGAATGAGGTGAGAATTGGGTACTTGTCATGGGTAACATGAAATGGCTAACATACCAGCCACAGATCTAGCTGAGCACAAGTGGAGATGACAAACCTTGTAACGGCTGTGCCCAGCATATGATGTAAGCACAGGAAGCATTTTACTTCAAAGAGGTGTCTCAGAAGCACAAGGCCTCTTGGTTTTGGTTTGCTGCCTGTCTGATCTATGAGAGCTACTCCCATGTGAGTAAGGATCAAGGCAGGATTAAGCTCTGAAGTCCCAAATGGGCAGGTCAACTGGGAAACAGAATTTGACAATCTGCAGATTATATGATCCACCGGATTTTATTGAGGGGTTTCATACATAAACTGTATGAGAGCAGAATTTGGCATCTAGTTTACATGACAATATTTTTGGCAATTTGTTTATAATTTAAAAAAACCCAAACCTTACAAGCATTTTTGTATTGATCAGTAGATGAGGATTACTGATTGTAAAGGCCCCTAAATGAGTAGAAATGTAATTCCTTCTAATATACCACTCTTCATTATTGCAGTGGCTAATAAAAATAAATGACCAGAAGAAAATGAGATGAGGTAATATTAGATTGTAGTTGTTTTCAACATGTTTTCAACTGATTTATTATTAAGTAATAAGGCAATGCAATCTTGTAATTTAGAATCCAAGTGAATTCTTAACTAATGTGAAAAAGAATCTTAATGCACCTTCTCAGTGTTGCAGATGGTAAAAATGTCAGTTAATATGACGACAGACAAGGTTCTTTGGGTAAATCTGATATCTTTTATTAGACCAACTCAAATAGTTGGAAAAATTCTTCTTTGCAAACTTTTGGGTACAAATACCCTTTGTCAGGCTGAGAAAGCATCAGTTAATATGATTACATTTACCTTCTCTTCGGTTGGGATGCTGTATGTCCATCACACATTCACATTTGTCACTGTCCCATATCCACCCACTATGGCAAAGTTTGTTGGAAAAAGGGCATCTAGAAGGAAAAACAATATAATCATTTATATAAAAAAAGTTTCAAGAGAATTACTGTTTTTATCTGAAGAGATGAATCTGCTAGTTTGCTCAAGCCGGTTATTTACAGCTAGATCATCCAAGTGTAATACATGAATAAATGGCAATGATGTGTATTATTACTTCAAATAGAAACCCTGGGACCACCCGTATTCAGGCTCCAGTTCAACAATGCATTTAAGAATATGAACAGTTAAATTATCTTGAATGGGATTATTCCTGTACTTACAGTTAAGGACAGTTCCATAAAGAGACTTAGATATGGGGTGCCTCACTTTAGGTACTTGTCCCCTGGGTGATAATTTCCTACCCAGTCAACAGGGAGAACCTGTCCTCTAGAAATAGCATTTGTAGCAGCACTGAACAAGGCAATGTGTCAACCAACCAATAGAAATACTGAACAAAGAGGGGTGTGGCTAAAATGTCGCCTCTCTCCTAGACTTGGGCACCTCCCTATAGCCTTGAGCGAAGGACATTTCTGAGATTCACAGTCCAAAAACTACTCCTGGACTTGAGTGTCTAAGTTCTCTTTTCAGGCATAAATGACACGCTCACTTTTTAAAACAGGGCTAAAGAAAGAGGTGCTCCCCTTCCGTTACCTGCTCCCTTACCTTTTCCATACTACTATGTTAGTTGTAGCACTAGCCCAGGAAGTGGGAAAACCAAGTGGGGCCCTCCTCAGGCTCAAGTGGCTCAAACCCACAGTTTTCATCTTCACGGAGGCTACCTTAACCACCAAGCTAGAGGCAGGGCTGGGCTAGTGAGGCACTCCTAATCCCTGTTGTTGAAACTGAGCCACCATCCAACCAGCAAAGCAAGATTTGAGAGAAAGAAAGGAAGAGGGAGCTTAACTGTAACTCAGAGATGCGGTCAGTCCCCTAAAGGGAGTCCTGGATTCCTCTCTCTGCTTCCAACATTGTCTGTGGCTTTTATCCAGTGACTCTGGAAACACTGTAAGTAGTCCTGAGAGCAAGGACCAGAATTCACAACACTCCTCCAAGCTGGGCATCTTTCTTCCTGGATCACTGATACATGCTCCCTCTTGTTTGCTTTCTCGCCCCGCTTATCTTGTAGTCATAGCTGCAGAGTGGCACAGCTTCAACGAGATGGATGGAAAAAGTCCTCTCTCCGGTTTCAGTCTCATTTATGGCCTGGTGATTAGGGCACTTTTCTGGATGGTGGAAACTGAAGAATTGAATCCCTTCAGGGTCAAGTTTCCTAATTATTGGGTGAATACTTTAACTTCTGGACTATGAAAAGTAGGCAGTGCTGGTACCACCATCAGCTATGTTTGTGAATGAAAGAGGCTGTGGAATGATATGCTTTGTGCTGAAATCTATCCTTCCAGTATTTGTTAGATGTTCTATGAGCATACTTACAAGATAAGGCCCAGGGTTGTCAACCCAAGACAATTTTGTTGCTGACAATCTACAACATTTTTACTGACATTTACACTTCTTTACTGACATGTTTTACATAATATAAATGTAACCTTTCTGCCAGGCCTTTATTCTGTCAGGCTCTGATTCAAATTTAGGGGTTTAACACAAATGGTAGTAAAAAAGTTTGGTTGTCAATAAAAATTTTGGAAATTATCAGTATTTTTTTTCTTAAGTTGGCAGCCCTGCTTGTCTGCAGCAACTGTTTTACTCACCTTAAGTGTACCCTACTCACCCTACATCCTGCTACCCTTAACTGCACCTTGCACCTTGCTGCTGCACCCATCCCATCCCTTAGTCTTACCCTCACTAGTCTTGCCCCCAACCTGGGCATAGACACCTAAAAAAGGACTACTGTTTGCCGACCTAGGACCCAGAAGTATTACAGGCAGGCAACAGGATGCGGCAGTAGCAGCAGCACATGGTTGGGGGCTAGCGGACTACAAAACCCTGAAAAAATGCTCCCTGAAGGGTGTTGTGCTCCTGCTATTCTCTGTCTGTCCATCAAGCTTATGACTGCTTAGTTTTTGTATGGACAGCTCCATTTTTTATGGACTTTATGGACAAGCATTTTTAGCCTTGCTTTTATAGACTTCCATAACTTTATAGACAGTTGGCAATGATGATAAGACCCCTCAGAAACCTTAGGTACAGTGACACCTATTTTGTAAATACTAAATTGTGTAAAATAGTGCCAATGGTGCCGAGATGCTCAGATCAGTCACAAGGTCATGCACAGTCCCATGACATAGTAATGCCAAAGGTGGTGTGTAGACAAAATGAGAGGCATGTGTGCATGACACTTTAAAGCGGGCTAAATGCTGTTGCACTGCTTTAATGGTGTAGGTGTTTGCACACCTCAGTGGCATATTGCAAATTAATTCGAGCTACTGTAGGAAATTTGGTAGCGTAATGCACCTTAAATGATGTGGGGTGCAGCAAATTAAAACTCCTTCAAGGAGATTTAGTTTGGTGGTTGCCCCTACAGCCATGGAATGAAGCACTGGGCTCTGCTCAGCTTCACAGCTCTGCAGGAAGCCATGCAGGCAGCCTGACAGCAGCCCAGGAAAGCAGGCTCTGCCCAAGAAAAGTGGTGAGCCTGATCTTTTTTTCTTTTTTTTCCCCTGGAGCCTGCCTGCCTGCCTGAGCATGTGCAGCGTCTCAGTGCTTCTCTCTGTGGCTACGGTGCTCCCTGGGACTGCCCAAACCAGATGCCTGAGGGTGGGTGCCACCTAGGGCAGAGGCTGCCGCTGCTGCAGAGGCAAGCACCAGCCTCACCCCGCCCGCCTCACTCCCCCCCAACTGCTCCACCCACTGGCAGCTTGCCCTTGTCTCCCCACTGGACAGTCAGGTGGGTCAGTGGGGTGTGTGCGTGACGTGGGGGTTTAATCAGTCCTAAATTCAAGCACTGTTTTTTAAAACCCACTGCTTTAATTAGGGCCCCCATTTCATCTACACATGCCCTAAGGATTAAGACAGGTTTTTGTAGATTTCATTCTTGTGCTTTAGGTGCCTAAGTCTTTTTTTTGGATCTGGTCTTTAGTGAATTGGACCTTAATCTGCATGCCAGGCATCAGATGTCCATTAAGTTACTGAAATCTGTTTAACTCAGATTTGGTTTTGGCTCTGTAAATTTGAAGGGAACCCAGGATATGTGGAAACAGGCATGAAAATAAGGAATGAAAGAAAAATTACAGTGACTGAGTGACAAGGAAAAAGCTGTATAATAAAAAAGCTGTTAGTGTTGTATAATCTGTGTATAATATTTTGTAAAGAGAGGTTCCTACCTGTCCTCCTCTGGATACTGGACTGATCTTCGTATGATGGTATAAGGGGGACGCTGAATATTTGATGAGCACTTACATCCAGTATGGTTGGCAATTTTGACTGGCACTGGCTCTGGCACATTTGTCAAAGGAACTGAAATCTCAAAAAGCTGAAAGGATGAAACATGCTTTTCAATTTCTACTTTATAGTTTTACTTAAAATAAGTTATATACTAACTTCCTACCCTCTGCCTTTATTTCCCCTCACCTTCCCTATTCTCCTCTGGCAGCCACCATGGGTATGATCTAAGTTAATCAAAGGGGGAAAGTAAACAATGTCTCTGAAGTACAAACTGCTCAGTATGGCAGCCTCAGGACTAAGAAAGTGAAGTACTATAAATATTATTTAATGAGCATGCCATGAATTGGGAAAGTGCTTTGCAAATGCATCAAATGGTCTCATCATTATTTTATAGCAAATCTGGAAAACATGCAGAAAACTGGAATTTGTTATTAGATACATAATCTATTTAATCTTAGTCATTTATGTAGCTACTCATTGATCTTCTCTGCCTCTATTTCCATTGGTTATTACACTGAAAAACCTATAGCTTTTCCGAAAGGAAATAAATATCTTTAACAAAAAAAAATCTTTTTTTTCAGTAACATGGGCAAAACTCTGGAGTGTGTCCACTGTTTATTTGTTTTTTCCTCAGTGACTAGATTTTTATTGTTGAAACGAAGAGCAGTATTTGGCTCAAAGGCTTTTGAGAATGGTTATTTTGAATAAAATTAAAGGAATGTTGAACTCTAAAGAACTAAATGTATTTTATTTATTTTTTAAATCTTATGAGCAACAGTTTCAAAGATTAATGCATAAAATATTTTTAGCCTGACCCAGACCTCTGAGTTGCTAAGACATCTGTGGTATATTGCCAACAGCTAATAAGAGCTCTCTCCTCCTGACATGGAATGGAATCAATTAATGAACATCTACATAGGACGTATTAGGCTTGATTCACTCTTTCAACACTTCATTGTATTCTAGTATAACTTCATTGAAACCAGTGAAAGCACACTGATACAGGACTAGAATAAGAGCTAGGAATCAGACTCACTGCTATTGGAATGCTCCAGCTAATTATCTATGAATTTAGTGAAAGTACAAAAACTTTCTATTACTAGGACTAATATGTTGCTATAGAAGAACTAAAGCTGTAACTATAAAGTCACATGATGGAAAAAACTCAATTACCTTGGGCACGTCTACATGTGCCCCTATGGCAGTGTTGTTACTGTGCCTTCATTTGGTACTTCTTTTGTTAGTACTAAATGATGGTGCAGTAACAGCCACTACACTGTGCGGTGGCATATGGTTATTTTTAGATGCTATATTGCCATAGCAACATGCTATACTGAGGGAGTGCATTGCTACAGCGATGTAGCGGCAATGTCATGGTTTTTGCCCACAGATGATGTGTTGCCCTAGCTTATTGCTATGGTGATGTAGCATTGCTTGTAGATGCAACTACTACATTTAAGTTATTTGCTGCCTGCTACTACTTTGCTGCACCTGACTAATTATTTAAGTCTACACTTTCAAAAGTGACTCGTGATTTGGAACAACTCAAAATTGGAGCATTTAATTCAAAATATGTGATTCTGTGAGAGCAGATACTCCGCACTTTTAAAATTCAAGAACCTTTAAGACTTCTAAACCTAGACACCCAAAATTACCAATCAAGGTTTTTGTCACAGCTGTGAAAAATTAAGTCTTAATTCTTAGGCACCACACATCAGAAATTCCAAAAGAATCTATTTGCTTGGTAGTATGGAGAGTTTCCAAGAGCCATCAGGAAATTCTCGGTCCAGGTAACAATAAATATTAAGAATACAATAATTAAGCTTATTAACATCATCATTCACTTGGTGCATCTACATGTGCATTCATGGGCTGTAGTTATGGCACATTATGTTTAGTAACTGTAATAACGGGTATTAACCCAATGCGCAGTAACCAGTGTTATGGCACAATAGTGCCGATGCATGAATTTTTAGTGATGCTAATGCACTGTAGACTAACTCTACTGTGCATTAGCACAATATCATGACTTCTGTCATGACGCGCTAATGCGCAGTAGAATTAGTCTACTGCGCATTTAGTGTCTCATGTAGACATGCACACTGGTTCTGATTCTCCAGTCTTAGACTTCGTCTAGTCATTCAGGCTTGTATAGAAAACAAGCTAAATAATCTTTCCCAAGGTTGTATTCACTCTAAGTAAATAAAAATTAAGAATTTTTTTATGGTTATGAAAATGCAGAGAATGACTCTTAGGCACAAGTAGTTCCATAGTAGCCTTGGAGAGACCCAACATCCTTTTATCCCTCCTAGTCTCCAAGTAAGAAAATAGAAACAAGATGAATAGTCTCATTACCGTTTTTGAAACGTAAGTTGTGCTTGTATTCATGCAGCTCAGACTCTCCTCATTGCAGCAGCCTCCACATCGGAACACATTCACGCAGGGAGGCTTAAAGAATTTGTTGGTGGTTGTACCCAGCTCCTTGGCAACTTCCACACAGGTTTCCCTTGGCACACACTGAGTTTTTTGCCACTCCTCATCTATGACTACAGAAAGAACCATCATCATGAACAAAAACAAGAAAAAATTAAATGCTTGATTTAACGATGTGTTGGATAAATAAAGTGGACTTGGAATTTTGTTGGCCATTTACAGGTTGGCTGATAATGTTGGTTGACAATTTTTGATCAAGAACCAAAGAATGGCTGAGAACAGAAGTATCATGCCCATTAAATGGATTAAGAGGTTATTTTGCTAGGGTTTGCTTTTTGAGGTTTATTCTCTTCCTTAACTATGAAACATGGAACTGGAAACTCACCTGGTTTTAAGGACTGCAGATCCTCTGCTTTCAATGGAAAAGCGTTGATTTACATTGGCTAAGGATCTGGTCTATAATCTATTTCTGTACAAGTAGAGTCAATTTTTACCCTTGTTTACAACACTGTAAATCTGAAGTCTTATTATCAGTACACAGTTGGTTCAAATTACTCTAGTGTAAATGTGAGCAGAATAAAATTGAATCTGTTCAGGTGGAGAAACAGAGTAATGAGATTCTAGTCAGATGTTTTTAATAGGTCCACTGGGGTCCAGGCAGGGAGCAATGATTCCAAACCATCTACTGAAATCCAAGGCAAACACACTCCCACTTTAGTGTTCTCAGGAGTTTAAAGACTGAATAACAAAAATATAAATTTAAGTATGATTTATCTATTCAAAACATCATGACAGCTCTCAAATATTGAATTTTTGCAGACTGGCAGTTTTATTTTAGGATGACCTCTCAAATGTTGACTGTGAGAGAGAACAATGCTTTAACTATTCATTTAACCAGAGAGTGAGAAAGGAACAGCTTGGTGGAATTTGTCATAATTACATATCAAAATGATTTCTTGTATCATTAAATGCGGTCTTCTTTCCTTCCTCTATTTTCATAGGTATTTAACTACCTAATACAAGCATGTAGAGACCCTCAAGAGTTATCGAGCCTTTGTGTTCTTGTAGAGCTATGAAAAGCATTTTTCCATTAGCAGCTTACCTCTAGCAGTTTAGCAGTGGTCGAGGGCAATTTCTGTCATGTTAAGAAAATCTCTAATATGAAACAGAGCTCAGTCCTACAGAAATTTTTAAAGAAAAAAAATGCCAAAATGCTGTTCTTAACCCTAAATGTTAAAGTTTATCCTCAGATGTGCATTCACATTTCTTTTTTAGACCTTTTATTACACCTTCCTATTATATAAACCATTTCCTAAAAGAGGGTCACTGAGGCTCTTCATTTAGTCCTTGAAAGTTTTGTTTTCCCCTTAATTTATCCTCATTCTTTCCCCCCTGATAATAATTAAAAAGATACAAAAAATAAGATGCTTTTAAATGTCTTGCACATTTAGGGTGAAACTTCCATTGTTTTTAGTAGAACTATGATTTTACCGGAAGGCTACAACACTAAAAGGACCGATCCTGGAAGGTTGCTTCATGCTTAATACGAGGAAAAACTCCTTCACAGTCAGGTTGTCCAGACTGTGGAATAAACTCCTTCCAGAGGTGGTTCAGTCACCTACCCTGGAGGTTTTCAAGAGGAGACTGGACAGTCATCTCACTGGGGTCACCCCAGTTGTCTTCCTGCCTAGAGCAAGGGGGGCTGGACCCGATGATCTGTGAGGTCCCTTCTAGCCCTTAACAATCTATGAATCTATGAATACTTTAGGTAGACTCTATCCTACCTTCAGGTACTCAAAAGGTATCTGATTCTTAGAGTGTACTCAGTGCTTGTTGACAATCAGGCCTTTTCAAAGTGCTTCAGATTGAGGGCCCACAAGTCACTTGTCACATTTCCAAGTCTTGGCTGCAGGGGCTATTTTCTAAGGCTGTGCAAGGCTTTGGACAGAGCTTCGGATTGGGAGAAGCTTCAGACACTCTGGGGTCCGAAGCAGCATATCCGGGTTGACGCGCTG